AACCCAAGCATATATGGTCAGTTAATATAAAATAAAGGAGCCATGGATATACAATGGGGAAACAGCCTTTTCAACAGCTGGTGTTGGCAAAACTGGACAGCTACATGCAAGAGAATGAAACTGGATTATTGTCTAACCTCATAAACAAAAGTAAACTCAAAATGGATCAAAGACCTGAATGTAAGTCATGAAATCATAAAACTCTTAGGAAAAAACATAGGCAAAAACCTCTTGGACATAAACATGAGCAACTTCTTCATGAACATATCTCCCTGGGAAAGGGAAACAAAAGCAAAAATGAACAAGTGGGACTATATCGAACTAAAAAGCTTCTGTACAGCAAATGACACCAACTGTAAAACAAAAAGACATCCTACAGTATGGGAGAATATATTCATAAATGACAGATCTGATAAGGGGTTGACATTCCAAATTATATAAAGAGCTCACACACCTCAACAAACAAAAAGCAAATAATCCAATTAAAAAATGGGCAGAGGAGCTGAACAGACACTTCTGCAAAGAAGAAATTCAGATGGCCAACAGGCACATGAAAAGATGCTCCGCATTGCTGTCATCAGAGAAATGTAAATTAAAACCACAATGAGATATCACCTCATACCAGTTAGGATGACCAATATCCAAAAGACAAGCAACAACAAATGTTGGTTAGGATGTGGAGAAAGGGAAACCCTCCTACACTGCTGGTGGGAATATAAATTAGTTCAACCATTGTGGAAAGCAGTATGGAGGTTCCTCAAAAAACTCAAAATAGAAATACCATTTGACCCAGGAATTCCACTCCTAGGAATTTACCCTAAGAATGCAGCAGCCCAGTTTGAAAAAGACATATGCACCCCTATGTTTATTGCAGCACTATTTACAATACCCAAGATAGGGAAGCAACCTAAGTGTCCATCAGTAGATGAATGGATAAAGAAGATGTGGTACATATACACAATGGAATATTATTCAGCCATAAGAAGAAAACAAATCCTCCCATTTGCAACAATGGATGGAGGTAGAGGGTATTATGCTCAGTGAAATAAGCCAGGCAGAGAAAGACAAGTATCAGATGATTTCACTCATCTATGGAGTATAAGAACAAAGAAAAAACTGAAGGAACAAAACAGCAGCAGACTCACAGTACCCAAGAAGGGACTAACATTTACCAAAGGGAAAGGGACTGGGGAGGATGGTTGGGAAGGGAGGAATAAGGGGGGAAAAGGGTCATTACAATTAGCACGTATAATGTAGGGGGGTGGATATGGGGAAGGCAGTATAACAGAGAAGATAGTTGGTGATTCTGTAGCATTTACCACACTGATGGACAGTGACTCTAAATGGGGCATGTAGTGGGGACTTGATAATAGGGGGAGTGTAGTAGCCATAATGTTGTTCATGTAATTGTACATTAATGATAGCAAAAAAAAAAAAAAGTTCCATTTCTAGGCGAGCTGATACTTATCAGTTTGATGATGTGGAGCTTAGCATGAGTAATTCCATTTGGGGCCTTTTATTTAGTTTTTAACACTTCTTTATGTTCTGTCTTACGCCAGTGCACATTCAATAAAAACCATGGCCTATGTTCTTGTTCCTGTCTGCACTGGAATGGAGAGCCAATGGATCTCTACAGTGGATGTAACGTGCCATGGGGAAATCCTGCTCTAAAGCATAGAAGTTAACAGCACACACCCACCTCTGCAATGGGATCCTTTCTGCCTTCTCTAGCTCCCCATCTCCTCTTCCCTACTCTCACACACCCCTTTTGTTCTAGCTATGCACATCAGCACACAAAACTGAGTTCAGGTGTCACCTGACTGGGAGCCTTGCCTAACCCTTGCCTCATCTGATTTAGAAGTCTCCTACAGCATTCATTTTGCATCCTATGTACAACCTTCATCAAAGCATGATTGGAGCAATATTATAAAAGAATCAAGCCAGCATCCTTTCACCGTGGATTGGTAGTTAAGAAAACAGGCTCTGAAATTAAGATTCCCTGGGATGGAAGCTTCACTCCTCTGCTGACTTGTGTACGGTCATGGGCCAGGTCCTTAACTTCTCTATGCTTACAAGTCCTCAGCTGTAAAATGCAGAAAATAACAGCCTCTACACCCTACAGTCTACACAAGATACACCTGCAAGGCGTTCAGACATGCTGTGCAAGTAGCTCCTTATGAGGTTATCCTTGAGGGACTGAGACCCAGAGAGCTGAGTTTCCCCAAGCTCTTTGCTCTATGCTGAAAAGCTTTCCATGGCTGTATCTCTTTACTTTCTCACAGGTTTCAACACAATCTTGGTACCTACTTTGTGGATTCAACTGTCAAAAGACTCGGTAGGGCATGGAAGTAGTAGGGATATGCCTGGTAGGAAGAACAGTAATTCTAACAAAGGTGGTGTGGCTCTTGGTGGAAATGAGTCCAGAGAGGCAGCAGTGATGTGAGGTAGCTGTCATCTGCTTAGCTGTGAGCTCATATACATGGGACATTGTCCCTCTGTGATGGAACTACAGAGTATTCTGGAGGAAGTCTCCAGGGGGCTGAGGCCCTGTATCAAAAGGAGGGGGCCTCAGGGCAACATTATTGTTACTGACTCCATTTATTATCCACAGGCCAGAAACATGGAAGAAGGACTCCATTCCAAAGCCCTTTTACACTGTTGAGGGTGTAGATGGTTCTTACCTGATGTGCTTACAAGTCCTCAGCTGTAAAATGCAGAAAATAACACCCTCTACACCCTACAGTCTACACAAGATACACCTCCAAGGCACTCAGACACGCTGTGCAAGTAGCTCCTTTACTCAACAGGTAAAACAAGGAATATATCTGTCTTTCTGTCTCTCACACACATCCTTACAAGTGTAGTCTAACTTCATAAGAAATGGACATTTGTCCATCTTCAATAAGCCATCTCCCTTTTTTTAAGTTAAAGACTAAAAGTTTCCAGTATTTCCTTTAATGTCAGACACAAATTTTTAAAACACTTCTGGATGCATCTGGGAATAGAATCCTAGATTTTACCAATTTTCTACTATTGCATGGTTGTTTCACCCATAAATTTGACAAAATTTTTCAGCAGCTTGCTTTCAGAGTTCTCCTGAAGCATTGTTAAGTTTTCAAAAAATTAATTCCTTATCTTTTCACTTTCGTAATTCATTGTTTACTTACTATTAAATGATGTCATTACAATAATAGGTATAACTTGAATCCATAGGTTTGAGAACAGGTTCCATAAACGTAACTCAACTGGGGAGAAGCAAAGTGCATAGGGACGGAATGGTGGGCCACAGCCTGTCAGTCTTGATGTTCAGCATGCTTTACAGGAAGAAGTCAGTATTTTACTGATGGAATGGAGAGTGCTGATTAAATGGAATTTGGAGAACAGAACTGCGGAGTATGGCCACCTCATTTTCTGTCGGTAAAAATCGCACTTGTAGATCCTAGTTTAGCCAGCAGGTGGCAGATGAGGCTCATGAGCTGTTGGACTGGAGTCTTGGCCAGAGCCAAGCCTCTGCCAATATTAATGGCTAAGACAGAGAATCTCCCTTCCATCAAGTGAAACCCACGCAGCCTTTTCTGCTCCTTCGATAGCCTGGTGGCATTTTCTTCCCAGGTCAAAGTTTGGAGAATTCCAGGACTGTGGTTGGGGAGCTCAGTGCCCTAAGAATACATAGCCATTCCCACCTATCTCCTCCTAGCCTCAATTTACCCTCTCAGCATGAGCCAGTTCCCATCTGACTGGATTGTTGTGAAGAATCAGTCACTTCACTTTCTTCTTTGTCCTTGAAGAGAGAAAAGGGCAATGTTTCACCTTCGGGGAACCTGGTCACCCAGACTGCCTGCTGGGCAGGCCTGAGTACAGATGCAGGCATTGCTCTCCACTGGCCCCTCCTCAGAGCTCGTCAAGTAAACCCTGACCCTGGGCAGGCGCTCGGCCACCTGGCTGGTGAGGCAAGCAGTGGCCCTGCAGACAGCCAGTGGTTAGCCCACCTCACCACCATGGGGTGGCTCAGCCGGCATGGGCCTGCAACAACAGCACCCTGGTTTTTAGAGCTTTGATGAAGTTATACCTGACTCTAGGTAGGTGGGTGGTTGGGCCTGCATGACTTCTCCAGAGGCAGTGGTCAGAAATTGGAGCACTTTGGTGATCCCTACACTCCCAAAAAGCAATTGCAGGTTACCACTCAGGGTAGTGAGAGGCAGTATGTAAGGACACTGAACAGAAGCAAGTGAAGGGACCCAGGCACTGGCACTGCCCAGGCCCCAGAGGCCAGGCCCGTGGTCAGAGGCAGCTTGTTTTGGTGCCCCCTATGGACCACTCCCAGGACCCCAGGCCCAGGCCTGGACACTATGTGGTGGCAGCCAGGGAAAGGCTTTCTTGACAGCCCTGCCCTAATGGAGCCTTGAAATCTGAGGATGAGCTGGAGGAGGAAGGTAGTTAGGCATGGAGGTGGGGGGGCCAGCCCAAGGGGGTCTGGGAGGTGGGGCATGGCCTTAGGCATGGACTCCTGGAGGACAGAGGACAGGCACTCCCATCACCTTGGCTCACCTCTCCTTCAGACAGGCCTGTCGTCCTACACACACCCAGGGGCTGAAGCAGGGGAGTGCAGCACCCACACAAAGCTCTGACTCATGGGCTCTGGCCTGGGGCCGAGCTGGGGCCAAGCAGAGGTAAGCAGGTTCTGGTGGAAGGCCTGAGAGGAATTCCAGGGTAGAGACCAGCTGCAGAGACCCAGGAGAATCAGGGGGAAGGGTGAGGAGGGTAATCCTGTCTTGAGCGCGAGGACGATGGAGCAAAAGCACAGGGATTTGAATAAATCCAGCTTTGCTGATCATGATTACACTGGTGTCCCTCAGGGAGCTTCATACTCCACCTCTGCGGGCCCCATGCCATTCCACTCACAGGACACCTTGGGGGCTCCTAGCCCCACCAGAAACAGTAGAGGTCACCTGGTAAACCCCACTCTGCAAGACCACAAAGGAATCAGATATCCAGGCATCTTGCTATCACACCAAATTTAATAAAGAATGCAAAATGTTTCTGGTGGGCTACTCAGGTCCCAGGTGCCATCTGTTTTGGTGGCTGCAGGACTGTCCCCTCTGACACTACATGGTCAGAGCAGCTTTGAGATCCCGAGTGGGGCTGGGCTCTAGACAGTCCTCTGGGGTGTCAGGACTCCTCTCTCCTGCTGGCTCTAGGGCTCCTGGCACCACTGAGGCCCAGGCCCAAGCTGCAGGGCCTTCTGGCTCCTCATGAGGCCCATGGCCAGCTCTGCTGAGGGAATTGTGAGCAACACAGCAGAAGTGAGCCCTTCCCTCCTCTACTTTGTGGCTTTGTCAGCTTTTGCCCCAACAGTCAGGCTTCCCAAGGTTGAGAAAAACTCCTCCATTTCCTTCTGCAGCATCTGGTTCCTTTTCTCCGCGTCCTCCCGTGCCCTCTCCGAGTTCCTCAGCTTTATTTCCAGCATCGTGTACCTTTTCCTTTCCTGGTCCAGTTCCCCTTCCAGCTGGGACATTCGTTTCCTCAGGTCAGCACTTCCTTCTTCTAGTCTTAAAAGTCAAGAAGAAAGACACCGTTTCAGACTTTGGCTTGCTGGGTTTGCTGAGCAAGCTCGGTTTCTGGCAAAGCCGGGCCTGCCTGCGGGCCTGATGGGAGGAGCTGGTCAGGCACCCTGGGAGGGTAAGGAGGCTTGCGGGCTTAGGCTGGCTCTGGGGCAGGCCCCGCAGACCTCACTGGCTCCACACAAGACCCTCCTACTTCCCCATGAGCCCCCAGGGACCTGCCCTCAGCCCGGGGCCTCCCTGAGTCCTCAGTGGAATTCAGAGACCCTCCAGACCTCTGGCCTGGTTAGCCATCCCCCAGAAGGTGGACTACACTGGCACAGAGCAGGACAGGGCCCCTCACAGAGGCGGGAATAGGAAACCGTCTCCTTGCCTTGGCTCTTTGAGGCCCCCTGGGTGCCCTCCCACTGCCCCCAGCCCCATTCCAGCCAGACAGTGATTCCTAGGCAACCACATCCGGGTTGTCACCTCCATGCCTACTTATCTTTCACAGGCAGCTCTAATGTTTCCCCATCAGCGAAGCTTCTCTTGCTCCCCCCTGCAGGCCACTTTCCTGTACCTTTGTGCCACCACAAAGCTAGGCCACTGCTTGCATGCAGGGTGACACCAAACTGCACAAAGTTTGGCACATCTGTCTTTTTGACCAGATGACCAGCAGCTGTCTGGCCTGAGGGACAGGCTGATCCCAGGCCCTGGGAACTGACAAACTTGAGTTTGGGCCTTGGCCTGCCTCCTCAGGAGGCTGGGTGCCTCTAGGCAGGACACAAACTGCCCTGAGGTCTCGTGTCCTCTTCCCCCAAGAACAACATTTCCCCCACACCTGTAGCTGCGATGGAAAAAGGTGACAGTGTGTGCACAGCACAGTGCCTGGTCCGCGGTGTCCGTGGGACAGACACATCCATTCTCCGCCCCAATGAGGACAAGGCCTGGTGCCCACCCTCAGCTACTGAACCCAAAGTGTGAAGGGAGGAGACCGCCCTCCACCCAGCTCTCAGGGAGGGCAGGGGGCTTGGGGCCTGCTGTCAGAGAAAGCCCCCAGGGCAGTGAGGTCCCCCACTATTCATGGGGCCCAGCCCCGGCCATCCCCTGCTGCTCCTCACTGCCCCCTTACCCACGAGCTCAGCTGGGCCACCCCTCTTCCTCGACCTGCTGGAGGGCAGGTAGCTGGGATGAGGGGCAGGGCATCTGAGAAGCTGACGGAAGCACCGTGCACAGGCCAGGCCCTGCTGGTGACCTCAGCTGGAGAACGTGGCTTCTCAGAGCTGGAGCACACTCCCCTCACAGGGAGGCTCCTGTGTCACCTCGTCCAGTCTCCATACAGAAATACCACCTATGTGCTGACAACTCTCCATCTGCCTCCCCTTGACTCCTCACAGAATTAATAAACATGAGCTGAGCTGACCAGACCCACAGCTGAGCGCCTGACCCTTCCTCCCAAAACCACTCCTTCTGGCCTTGGTCACCCACTCAGCGCACACCACCTCCCAGCTGTGAAGCCAAAACAAAAATGTCGTCCCTTATGTCAGGTCTTTGTCACCCCCACCCTGATCAATTAGCAAACCTTCTCTGGCTCTTCTCCCCATGGTGACCGCTGCCCACTGTGTCCATGACACCTACAAGTCTGGCATGGGCTCCATGGCCTCCTCTCGGGTCGGTCTGCCCTTGGCTCCTGTTAGGCTCACCTCAGCATGATGGCCAGGTGTGCCGATCAAAGTGATGAGAGTGCTCAAGGGCCCCCGCTGCTTAGAATCTCCCCAGGAATAAAATCTAGAGCATCACTGTGGCCAAAAGGCCCCTCCACGCCCACCTCTTTCCTCCACCTGCCCACTCAGCTCCTGCTCCTCCCCACTGCAGCCTCTAGGCACCTGCACTGACCGCCCCCCATGCCCTCCCTGCACGGCCTTCCAGCCCCCATGGCCCCATTCCCTCCACTCTGCTTTAGTGTTCTTTACCTAATCTAAAATAGCATATATTTTAAAAATCCATCTTGCTTGTGGTCTCTATTTCCCTGTCACCACCCCACATGCCATGCCTCACAAACACTACTATAAGAATGAGGGGAGAGATTTTGATCAGTTTTTATCAAAACTGTATCCCAGAATCTAGCAGAGGGTCTCACACATTACAGATATTCAATGAATTCTCTTTTGGGGATACAGGAATCAGGGCACCAGGGAGGGGTTCTAAGTCCCTGAAGGCAGGGCAGAAAGCTGGTCTCCCTCAAATGCCCAGACTTGACCAATTGCTGACTCCCAAGGTGCAGACATTTCCTACACCTGCTGGGTGGGGCCCCATTTCCTCCTGTGCTCAAAGAGCAGCTCCTACCCACTCTAGACTATCCCTCTGTCCGCATGAGCCCAGACCACTCTTCTAGTGAAGGTACAGGGTGGCCACTACTGTTGCTTCCTCTCGGAGCCTTGCCTTACCTCCAGCCCACCAAGAGGAGGTAATGTGTACTCTCTGGGTTTCCCAGGCTCTGTGCTGAGCACCCCCACCCATCGTGTCTCTTAAACCTCATGACACATGGGTGAGGTCACCAGAGTCTAGAAAGCCTGCCCAGACAGACACGCAGCCAGTCCACGGTGGGGCGGGGACTCAAACCCAGGCAGTGTGGCCAGGGCCCACCACCGAACAATGCTGCATTTTCCCCCAAATGCAAGCCTGTGAGATGGCAGAAGAGCTAAAAGCCTAAGTCAGCTCTGCAAACAGCCAAGTGAGCAGCTGATTCTGACCCACTCTGAGGCTATCAGCCAGCCTGCTAATGGTCCTCTCTAGTTCCTGTCTGAGCTCATCTTCAGGAGTCATCCTCTTCCTTCACTCCTCGTAGGGCGCTCCCGCTGTTACCTCTGCCAGGTCAATTCCAGCCGAGTGCTTCCATGTGTAGGGTTTGCCCCACAATGTTATGCATAAGGGTTTTACTATGCTGTGTCTTTTCTTCTTGCTCAGCTTGATCCTATGGGTCCTTCCAGTCCCGGCTCAAACATGGCCTGATGTGACCCTCCCTGACCTCCCTATGGTAGGTCCTCTGCCCTCAAGCCCCATCATCTTCCCAAGGACATTGCCTACACATGCCTGACACTCCCCAGGAACCCAGCCAGCTGCCAGCAGAGCTGAAGGGCCAAATGCAGCCATTCCAGCTTCCTGTGGAAATCCTAGGTTCAGAATTGGAAGCAGGAGTCCTTTCCCCCTCCACAGTCTCTGATGGGGATACAAAGACAGCCCTCAGAACACGCTGACAGCCTCTGCTGGAGGGCAGGTAGCTGGGATGAGGGGCAGGGCATCCGAGAAGCTGACGGAAGCACCGTGCACAAGCCAGGCCCTGCTGGTGACCTCAGCTGGAGAACGTGGCTTCTCAGAGCTGGAGCACACTCCCCTCACAGGGAGGCTGGGGGCACCCGAGGGCCATCTGAGCAAGCTTGGAAGGCCTGGAACACAGCACAGGCGTCCTCCTGTGACCAGGGCAGGCAGGCCCGCTCAGCTCAGCGCCAGCAGCACCCTCCTCAGGGGAAACTGGATTCTGATCCTGGAAGGACTCCTCCCACCTCAGGCCCAGCAAGGTCAGCCAGCCAGCCTAGCCTGGGGCCTGCATTGCACGTGGGCACTTCCCCGGGCCCAGCCCCTGGTCTATAGGCCTCTGTGCCCATGTACACCTCGGTGGGGGGGCCTGCCTCCTCCCTGACTGAGGGCCACATAAACAACCCCACCCGGCTCCACACTCCATTAAAAGGTACTCTGAGCAGTTCATGCTGACATTCTGACTCACTCATTTGTTCAGCAGGCATTCACGAAGCTCAGATTGTATGCCAGGTCCCAGCTCCTGAGCCTTTGCAGACACTGGACCCACCCACTGTTCCCACTGCCCTGGGGCATGTCCCAGAAAGCTGGCTTCCAGGGGCTGGCTGCTCTGAGCCCTACCTCCAGGAGGCTTGCTTTCAAAGTTGGAGGCCATGAGACCAGAGGCTGGCTGCCTGGGGCGGTGCCTGTGAGCTGCTGGCCACCAGGGCTCTGCTCTGCCTGTGTGCAGGCCTCACACTTGCTCAGCAGCTACGGCCCTTTACCTTTTCATACTCAGCTCGTACTCAGTCCTCTGCTGGCACAGCTCCGCCCTGAGCTCTGTGACCAGGCCCTGGAGAGCCTTGGAGCGGCAGGCATGGTCCCAGGCAGGGCTGCCTGGGTCACTAGGCTCGCTGCTGCTGATACAGGTGCCTGCATCATCCAAGCCATGGCCCACGCCCGGGGACCTGTGGCCCATGCTGCTGCTGGGGAAAAGGGAGGGCTCCGTGTGCAGGGAGCTGCAGGGAGATGAGTCGCTGGCCCGGCAGGCTGTGCAGCTGCTGACTGAACCCTGGGCTGATACCTCGCAAGAGGAGGTCCCAGACCATGCCGTGCTGGCCACGCTAGGAGTGCTGGGAAAGAGGCTGCTGGGCAGGGGCACGTTGTCATAGGTGGAGAGTCTCTGCGCAGAGCCTGAGACCTTGAGCCGGTCTCCTGATGAGGCCCGGCGGTGGCCGCGCAGGGAGGACAGCCCGTTGATGAGCCAGTTCCCTCCGGAGGAGATGATGGGCACCTCCAGAGATGAGCTTCCCATCTTCGGGCTCCCTGACCGGGACCCTGGCTGCCAGAAGGGAGACCTCCAGCTGGGCAGAGTCTGCACCTTCTTCCTGGGGCTGGGGGTGGCAGGGCTGCCCTGGCTGCCCAGGCCTGGAGGAGAGGTTCTAGAGCGGGCTGCCACGGTGGCCCCATCCAGAGATGAAGTCCGGTGTGAGGGCAGGCCAGGGTCACTGCAGCTGCTGGGCTCTGGCTGGCTGTCTGCCTTGACCTCCTCGGAGCCCCATCGCACCATGCACGGTGGGCCCTGGCTTGGGGAAGCCTGCCCTTCTGTGGCCCTCGTGGTGAAGAGTTGCACGTGTTTGCGGATCAGGACAGTCATCAGGTGCTGGACCAGGGAAGTGCCTGCCAGGAAGAGGGAGCGAGAAAGGCCTGGCTGTGTATATCTCCTGTTCTGGCTCTCTGGACCAGTCAGGGTTGCTGCAGCTCTGACCCAGGTTCAGGTCCTTCCCAGGATGCCCCTCAAGAAAGGACTCAATGGGAGCTTGGCAACTGCCACCCAAAGCAAAGGACGACCCCCACACCCTCTAAATCCAGGCACAGACAGAAGGCTCCTGCCTAAGAATGCCCTTCCCTGGATGTAGGGCCTGGGACACAGAGGAGGCACTGGGCCTCTGAGCCCCTCCATCTCTCTGGGCAGCAGTAGGAAGCAGGCACCGTGCCCATTAAGACTCCAGGGTAAGCCAGTAGTGAGCTGGGCCTGGAAACCAGGACCTGGATGTCAGAGCCATCTCAGCTGCCCCAGGTCACTCCCCTGAGTGCCAACAATTGTGCCCTGCTGTCCATGTTCTGGGGGACACAGGACTCTGGGAAAGGGAATAGAGATGTCCTACAGGTACATGAGCACACACGTGCACACAGTCCTACACACACAGTCATAATACACCTCAGTTCCATGCACATACCACCAACATGCACAATCTCACATACACACACACAATCACCCTTCTCCAAGCCACACCCCTGGGGCACAGCCTATGGCGTCTGTGGGGTACTTGCTTCCTGAAGGTGTGGAGTGTGGGGTCTGGGCTGGGGGGACCAATGGCAAAGGGGATGGTACAGAAGGGCCATGGTACTTGTCCACCTGCCTCATTCCTTCCTGTTATCCCCCACCAAGCAAAGATCAGACACTGGGGAGGTCTGCAAGTGCTAAGGCAGGTGAAGTGCTTGGGCGCACCCTCACAGTAGAGGTAACAAAGAATCTTAGAAAAAATATAGCAAGGAATCCGGAGTTCAGAAGACCAGGTGAAGTAGGACCTCGGTGAAGTCTGTGTGGGTTCACTCCCAGGCATTTGTGCAACCAGGCAGTTTGGGGCCTGAGGTGGGAGACCTAGCCAGGCAGGCCAATGGGGGACCTGAACAAAAAAGCCTCCCCCATCCTCATCTCCCACAGGTCACATTCAGCAAGGAATGGAAACTCTGCCCTGGCTCGCCTGGTGACGGGGCAGCAGGACAGCTGGCATTTGTCCTTCAGGTGCCTTGGTCCAGCTCCATATGCCTTTGCTGGGACTGGCTGTGTGTTTCTGGTCTGTGAGTAGCAAGACTCACACTGACCCCTCTGGGCTCTGAGCATGGGATCTTCTTTCCATGCCAGTCTGCACATGTGCCCTTTGGTAAGTCTGGCTGACAGTCACTTGCCTCTCCTGGCCTCAGTTTCCTCCACTGTAAAATGGGTGCAGTAACCGCAGCCTGGGCTGTTTATGCAGATTGATGTGACAAGATGTAAGTGCAGCACTTAGAAGAGACCCTTGCCCCTTGAAAGCAGCTGCTATTGCTGCTGTTTTATCATCTTATATTTGTTAAGTATATTCACAAGACAGGAATTTCCCAGGTTTTCAAAGCTCTGATGTCCCAGGAGCTGTGACAATTACTTACTTGAAAATGACTTAAGCAAAAACACCCATGTGTGTGCAGCAGCAAGGGCACTGACCACCCCATTCCCCCGGCCTCTCCTGCCATTCTGACTGCACCCAGGGATCCCACCTACAGGGCACAGTTCTTTTTCCTTTTATAGCTGGATCTTCACGATGGGGAGGGGAGGGGAGGAGGTCTGGAGAGGCTTCTGCCAGGTCCCAGGGATGGAGCCACCCTCCTGCTGGCCTGGCTGGGACTTGCCTGGGACCCATGAGAGCCCAGACCCCTGCCCCACACATCTCCCCTGTTACCTTCCATGATGGTCACTGGATCTGCTACTTCCGGTCGTAGTATGTTAGGGCCAAAAACAGTTGCCAGGTTCTGGACACTCATCTTGTTGACATTGGAGTGGGACTGAACTTCATCCAGAAACCTGCAAAATAAGGAAGAGGCAGTTGGCAGAGTGATAAACCCTGATGCCACATTTGCTGGGAACTGCCTGGCCCCCATACCCAGCTGTGCCCACTCTGTCCATAGTGGCCAGGCAGAGCCTGCTGCCCCTGCCAGGCTCAAAGAGGGCAGAGCCTCCTCTGGTGTCTGAGAGGGCCCTCAGAAGCAAAAGCCAATGGCATAAGGGCCCATTGTCAGCACGGAAGGAGAACACATGGACTCTCCTGCCTGCAGTAGGGCAGATGCCTAGGAAGGCCCAGACCCCCGGGCACAGACAGGGTGAGGGCCCCCCTGCATGCCCTCTCCCACCGTCTGAGCTCAGGTTGTAGTCAGGAGGCAGACCCCTTCAGGGGAGGGTGGTGGGAGGCACCCAGAGAAGGCAAAAGGGATAGAGATGTATCTCTTCATTCAGGAATGATCCATTGGACTTATTTAACACTGCCTGCTCCCAGGGAACCTTAAGCATCACAGGCACAGGGACTGTGTTCTTTTATACCCTCCATTGGCTCCATGGACACTTGGAGAGGAGTGTGGGGTGGGAGAATAACCCAGGCCCCCTCTGGGAAGAGCAAGGAGCCAGAGCACAGGGAGGGTAGGCTCCCCACCCCAAGTCACTCACTTGCAGATATATCTGAGCAGGTTGTAATTGGCTGGGGGAAGGCTGATCACTTGTTTAGCCAACTCCAGAGTCCCCTGGGGAGTGAAAGAGAAAAACAGCATTTCAAAGATCAGCAATGAGGCCCCAGCCTTCTCTTACTAGAGGGAGGAGTCAGAGGGGTGGGCGAGGACGAGGAGGACCTGGGCTGCGGGGTGGGGACAGGAATCAGAGGCCAAACCTCCAGTATGGCCAGCACAGCCAGGCCCCAGGTGACCAGAGGGTGCCACCACCTCCATCTCCCTCTGAGGCCAGGCTTGTGACCTCCTGCGGAAAGTGATTTACCTTCCGGGAGCTGGTATGAGAGGTGAGCCTCTGCAGGCTCACAGAGGAATGTCAGGGCCAGCTCTCAGCTCTCTTGTGGAGGCACAAATATTTGCCAGATAAAGGCCCCTCATTTCCCACACAGGCCATGGGGAGGGCAAACAGTCCTTCCCTAGCTGGGAGCCGGCCCAGGACTCCATACAGGCACCTAGGGTATAGGGGTGAGGGGCCCTCTGTCCTAGGAGTGGTCTTAAGTTTTTCTGGGAGGCGGGAGGAGATAAGCAGATGAAAGGTCTGGCTGTTTCTGAGCCTTGTGGCTAGCCTGAGGAGCCTGAGGTGGGTGTAGGAGCAGGCAGCGAGGTAGGCCCAGACCTAGGCATATGTGGAGGCCCACACCTGGGCACCCACTCTCAAGGGCATCATGGAATCAGGAGCTTCCTGCCCCTCCCAGATACTGAGGCCTGCACACAGAGAGGGCCTACACAGAGGGGATGCTCCAGCCACCCCCTCCATACCACACAGAACAGGAGGGGCAAGCCCCACTGCCCACCACACACAGCAGGCTGCTCCAGGCCCAACTCACAGAGCAGAGGGCAGGCTACAGCCTGAATCTGTGTGCCATAAGAAGTCATGAAAAGTCAGAGTGTTCCCTGACTTCACACACCCACCTCCCAGCAGGCCTCCTCCCAGAAAGGGTCCCCATGAGCCACTAACCTCCCCCTCGTCCTTGGTGAGCAGCTGGGCACAGCTAAGGAAATCCTCGTACCTGGCGAAGGGTATCACAGGCTCAGGGAGCTCCCGAAGGTAGAGCTTCAGCAGGGAGGCCACCGTGTGCACGTCTGTGGAGCTGTGAGGGGGGGATGGGCATGAGGCTGGGGATACCAGGGAACTCTGAGAGTGACAGCACCTTGCCTCACTGCCCCTGGGGCAGCCTCTGCTCTCATGAAGGCCTGTGTGCTTGGGCGTGTGCACTGTGACAAAGAGCCAGGAAATCAGTAGGCATGAAGGGTGCCCTTCTGCTAGTGGCTGCCCCAGGATCCTCTGCAGGGTAATGTGGGAGCTGCTCTGCTCCTGAGGAGTAAAGGGGGTAGGGAGCCAGGGGCACAGCTGAACTTGTTCTCCCTTCCCCCTAGGCTGACCCTCCAATGTTAGGGGCGGGGCTGTGTCAAAGGTGCTGCTGTGTAGGGGTGCTGGCTCCTTGGCAGTGAGTGGGCATCCCTGGACACTGGCCATCAGGACCTGGGCAGGTCAGGGTCAGGCCCTTCCCCAAGCCTCTGGATTCCCATTCCATTGTAGATGATTGGGCCTCTGTGCATATCATCCCATTTCCAGGGCCCCAGGGTCCCAGACCCCACTGTCCAGGCTGAAGTGGGCCCCTGTGGAGGGTGGTAGTCCTGGGCCTGTTGGGCTCTGGGTTCAGGTCCTGTACTGCAAGCTTGACACTTCCTGCAGGTGCGGCCTGGGCACCCATTTAACCCATGGGCCTGCATTCCCACTGTGGGAGGCACTCTGGAAAGAAGGCCCTGGGCCAAAAGACCTGTGCAGTTAAGGTGCCACCTGGCCCTGCCTCTCACTGAGATCAGCTCTGGGGGCCCTTCCAGCCCTGGGTTTTGGGATTCTGGGGTCCCCTATGCCCATATGCCCTTCAAGCCCACACACTCAGGGACCCTCCCTGCCTCTGTTGCTCTTGGTCTGGCCTGGCCAAGGGAGACCCCAGCCTCCCCTCTCCAGCCAGGCATGCTGCTGGCCCCTACTCTCCACTGCCTCCCTGGGGCCGCCTCCTCTGCGGACACCACCCACATCCCGGCACTTGCAGCCCAGTGAGTACCCAGGCTTGCGCCCACGGTCTCTGCCCAACTGGGACCCATGGGTTCCGGGCCAGCTGCTGCAGGAGCTGGAGCCCCAGGGGGACACAGGGCAGGCAGGAAGCAGGATCAGCAGCCTTGCCCCTTCCAAAGACATAGGCAGCAAAAGCACAGAGGTGTGGACCAGGGCCAGTTCCCCATGGTGTGGGGGACAGAAGCTTTTCTGTCCTGGGCACATGGACCTGGACTGGCCCCTCCACTCTGCAGACCTCACTGGCTGCGTCCCTGCCTGAAGCCCCATCCTGGTTCCTCCTTGATGCCCGTAGCTTACAGTGATCCTGGACCTGGGAGGCCCAGCCCCCGCCCCACCCTGGTCCTTGGAGCTTGGCCCCATGCCTCCTCCCCTCCCTCCCTAGACCCACGCTTCCTCTCCTTTCCCTCCCTCCTTACTCCCTGCAGAGCCTCTCCTTTAACAGGTTGGCTCCAGGCTTTTTCTTCCTCCCTGTTCCTGAACTCCCCTCCTGCCCCTCCCACCCACACCTGCACAGAGGCCAGGCCCCTCTACTGTGCCCAGCACCCAAAAAGAAGATTCTGCAGCCCATAGCACTAAGGGGGCTCACCAGCCTATGAGCGCCTCCAGGGCAGGTGCTGTCACCCATCTGGTCCCTCCCCAAGGACCAGGCTCACAGTATATGGTGGAAGGGGCTGGGTCCAGAGACTGAGAGGGCAGCTGTGGGTCCAAATCAGCTTCTGCCCTCACTGCCTGTGAGACCCAGAGTGAAGTACATAACTGGGAGCCTCAGTTTCTCCACCTGTAGGATGGATCTGCTGATGCCTCCATTCCTCGGCATCTCTGTGGAACCCCTCTCGCCCATGCCAACACCCACATCCATGCAAACATGGCCCTGGTCTCCTGCGTATCCCCCACACCCCCTGCTCCCCTGCAATCCATTCCACACCCAGAAGCCCAGCCCACATTTCCCACCCCAGACCCTCTGATGGCTTCACATCACTGACCCCACCACCCAGGGCTAGGGGTAGCTTGGCCCCAGGCCACCTGCCTTATCGGCCTCTGGGAGCCAAGATCAAGCCCTGCTCTGTGCTTGTGGGCCATGAAAGGGGGCAAAGGCCATGGCGATGGAGCCAGTACTCGTCCCTGTGTGCATTTACGGGTTTGTCCTCTCTTCTGGCGGCATGAGCACAGGAGTTTGTCTTGTTCATGGCGTCAGCCTCTCACTCAACAGATGAGTGCTGAGTGAAGTAAGAAAGGGTCATTGCAAGGGTCAACAATGCTGCCAGGGTTGGCACAGAGGAGCCCCTCTCCTATGCTCAGCAACCATGTGGACGGGGCTGGGAAAGCTGCTTCAGGCCCAGGCCCAGGGGCCAGGGGCCAGGGTGACGAGACAGGGCAGGCATAGGACTGCTCTGGGGACTGAGACTTCCAGACCCGTGGGGGTGGGGGGGCACACTCTTTATGGAGTAGAAGGCCCAGGACCTGGGGGCCAGAGTTCATCATGGTGCAGGGCATGGTCCACAAGCAGGGAGTGAGCAAGCCCTACCCTGGAATGCCTCTGCCCACAGGTGGGCTCAGGGAGCAGCCCCACTTTACATTAGCTGTGCAAATGAGGAGTTGCCTTCAGAGCCCTATGTTGCAGGGAAGGCATAATGCAAGGGCCAAGGAGCTACCAGAGCATGGCAGAAGGTGGGAGAGCATGGTGTCAGATATCCCAGGGAGGAGTTTCCCGGAAGAAGAGGACCAGAGCCAGGGACATGGCTGAGAAGGGCCCTGGGAGGGCCGGTGCAAATGCCCATACGTCTTGAGGGCTGAGGCTGCAGCATGGGGCAAGGGTGGGTGCAGGAGAGGAGGCCCTGTGAGAGGCTGTCAGACAACAGGATGGAGAAACAGGGTGGCTCTGAAGGGGTGAGGAGACTGAGGAAGTGGCTTCTCTGAACAGGGGATGTAGGTATCATCTCCCACAGGTCACATTCAGCAAGGAATGGAAACTCTGCCCTGGCTCGCCTGGTGACGGGGCAGCAGGACAGCTGGCATTTGTCCTTCAGGTGCCTTGGTCCAGCTCCATATGCCTTTGCTGGGACTGGCTGTGTGTTTCTGGTCTGTGAGTAGCAAGACTCACACTGACCCCTCTGGGCTCTGAGCATGGGATCTTCTTTCCATGCCAGTCTGCACATGTGCCCTTTGGTAAGTCTGGCTGACAGTCACTTGCCTCTCCTGGCCTCAGTTTCCTCCACTGTAAAATGGGTGCAGTAACCGCAGCCTGGGCTGTTTATGCAGATTGATGTGACAAGATGTAAGTGCAGCACTTAGAAGAGACCCTTGCCCCTTGAAAGCAGCTGCTATTGCTGCTGTTTTATCATCTTATATTTGTTAAGTATATTCACAAGACAGGAATTTCCCAGGTTTTCAAAGCTCTGATGTCCCAGGAGCTGTGACAATTACTTACTTGAAAATGACTTAAGCAAAAACACCCATGTGTGTGCAGCAGCAAGGGCACTGACCACCCCATTCCCCCGGCCTCTCCTGCCATTCTGACTGCACCCAGGGATCCCACCTACAGGGCACAGTTCTTTTTCCTTTTATAGCTGGATCTTCACGATGGGGAGGGGAGGGGAGGAGGTCTGGAGAGGCTTCTGCCAGGTCCCAGGGATGGAGCCACCCTCCTGCTGGCCTGGCTGGGACTTGCCTGGGACCCATGAGAGCCCAGACCCCTGCCCCACACATCTCCCCTGTTACCTTCCATGATGGTCACTGGATCTGCTACTTCCGGTCGTAGTATGTTAGGGCCAAAAACAGTTGCCAGGTTCTGGACACTCATCTTGTTGACATTGGAGTGGGACTGAACTTCATCCAGAAACCTGCAAAATAAGGAAGAGGCAGTTGGCAGAGTGATAAACCCTGATGCCACATTTGCTGGGAACTGCCTGGCCCCCATACCCAGCTGTGCCCACTCTGTCCATAGTGGCCAGGCAGAGCCTGCTGCCCCTGCCAGGCTCAAAGAGGGCAGAGCCTCCTCTGGTGTCTGAGAGGGCCCTCAGAAGCAAAAGCCAATGGCATAAGGGCCCATTGTCAGCACGGAAGGAGAACACATGGACTCTCCTGCCTGCAGTAGGGCAGATGCCTAGGAAGGCCCAGACCCCCGGGCACAGACAGGGTGAGGGCCCCCCTGCATGCCCTCTCCCACCGTCTGAGCTCAGGTTGTAGTCAGGAGGCAGACCCCTTCAGGGGAGGGTGGTGGGAGGCACCCAGAGAAGGCAAAAGGGATAGAGATGTATCTCTTCATTCAGGAATGATCCATTGGACTTATTTAACACTGCCTGCTCCCAGGGAACCTTAAGCATCACAGGCACAGGGACTGTGTTCTTTTATACCCTCCATTGGCTCCATGGACACTTGGAGAGGAGTGTGGGGTGGGAGAATAACCCAGGCCCCCTCTGGGAAGAGCAAGGAGCCAGAGCACAGGGAGGGTAGGCTCCCCACCCCAAGTCACTCACTTGCAGATATATCTGAGCAGGTTGTAATTGGCTGGGGGAAGGCTGATCACTTGTTTAGCCAACTCCAGAGTCCCCTGGGGAGTGAAAGAGAAAAACAGCATTTCAAAGATCAGCAATGAGGCCCCAGCCTTCTCTTACTAGAGGGAGGAGTCAGAGGGGTGGGCGAGGACGAGGAGGACCTGGGCTGCGGGGTGGGGACAGGAATCAGAGGCCAAACCTCCAGTATGGCCAGCACAGCCAGGCCCCAGGTGACCAGAGGGTGCCACCACCTCCATCTCCCTCTGAGGCCAGGCTTGTGACCTCCTGCGGAAAGTGATTTACCTTCCGGGAGCTGGTATGAGAGGTGAGCCTCTGCAGGCTCACAGAGGAATGTCAGGGCCAGCTCTCAGCTCTCTTGTGGAGGCACAAATATTTGCCAGATAAAGGCCCCTCATTTCCCACACAGGCCATGGGGAGGGCAAACAGTCCTTCCCTAGCTGGGAGCCGGCCCAGGACTCCATACAGGCACCTAGGGTATAGGGGTGAGGGGCCCTCTGTCCTAGGAGTGGTCTTAAGTTTTTCTGGGAGGCGGGAGGAGATAAGCAGATGAAAGGTCTGGCTGTTTCTGAGCCTTGTGGCTAGCCTGAGGAGCCTGAGGTGGGTGTAGGAGCAGGCAGCGAGGTAGGCCCAGACCTAGGCATATGTGGAGGCCCACACCTGGGCACCCACTCTCAAGGGCATCATGGAATCAGGAGCTTCCTGCCCCTCCCAGATACTGAGGCCTGCACACAGAGAGGGCCTACACAGAGGGGATGCTCCAGCCACCCCCTCCATACCACACAGAACAGGAGGGGCAAGCCCCACTGCCCACCACACACAGCAGGCTGCTCCAGGCCCAACTCACAGAGCAGAGGGCAGGCTACAGCCTGAATCTGTGTGCCATAAGAAGTCATGAAAAGTCAGAGTGTTCCCTGACTTCACACACCCACCTCCCAGCAGGCCTCCTCCCAGAAAGGGTCCCCATGAGCCACTAACCTCCCCCTCGTCCTTGGTGAGCAGCTGGGCACAGCTAAGGAAATCCTCGTACCTGGCGAAGGGTATCACAGGCTCAGGGAGCTCCCGAAGGTAGAGCTTCAGCAGGGAGGCCACCGTGTGCACGTCTGTGGAGCTGTGAGGGGGGGATGGGCATGAGGCTGGGGATACCAGGGAACTCTGAGAGTGACAGCACCTTGCCTCACTGCCCCTGGGGCAGCCTCTGCTCTCATGAAGGCCTGTGTGCTTGGGCGTGTGCACTGTGACAAAGAGCCAGGAAATCAGTAGGCATGAAGGGTGCCCTTCTGCTAGTGGCTGCCCCAGGATCCTCTGCAGGGTAATGTGGGAGCTGCTCTGCTCCTGAGGAGTAAAGGGGGTAGGGAGCCAGGGGCACAGCTGAACTTGTTCTCCCTTCCCCCTAGGCTGACCCTCCAATGTTAGGGGCGGGGCTGTGTCAAAGGTGCTGCTGTGTAGGGGTGCTGGCTCCTTGGCAGTGAGTGGGCATCCCTGGACACTGGCCATCAGGACCTGGGCAGGTCAGGGTCAGGCCCTTCCCCAAGCCTCTGGATTCCCATTCCATTGTAGATGATTGGGCCTCTGTGCATATCATCCCATTTCCAGGGCCCCAGGGTCCCAGACCCCACTGTCCAGGCTGAAGTGGGCCCCTGTGGAGGGTGGTAGTCCTGGGCCTGTTGGGCTCTGGGTTCAGGTCCTGTACTGCAAGCTTGACACTTCCTGCAGGTGCGGCCTGGGCACCCATTTAACCCATGGGCCTGCATTCCCACTGTGGGAGGCACTCTGGAAAGAAGGCCCTGGGCCAAAAGACCTGTGCAGTTAAGGTGCCACCTGGCCCTGCCTCTCACTGAGATCAGCTCTGGGGGCCCTTCCAGCCCTGGGTTTTGGGATTCTGGGGTCCCCTATGCCCATATGCCCTTCAAGCCCACACACTCAGGGACCCTCCCTGCCTCTGTTGCTCTTGGTCTGGCCTGGCCAAGGGAGACCCCAGCCTCCCCTCTCCAGCCAGGCATGCTGCTGGCCCCTACTCTCCACTGCCTCCCTGGGGCCGCCTCCTCTGCGGACACCACCCACATCCCGGCACTTGCAGCCCAGTGAGTACCCAGGCTTGCGCCCACGGTCTCTGCCCAACTGGGACCCATGGGTTCCGGGCCAGCTGCTGCAGGAGCTGGAGCCCCAGGGGGACACAGGGCAGGCAGGAAGCAGGATCAGCAGCCTTGCCCCTTCCAAAGACATAGGCAGCAAAAGCACAGAGGTGTGGACCAGGGCCAGTTCCCCATGGTGTGGGGGACAGAAGCTTTTCTGTCCTGGGCACATGGACCTGGACTGGCCCCTCCACTCTGCAGACCTCACTGGCTGCGTCCCTGCCTGAAGCCCCATCCTGGTTCCTCCTTGATGCCCGTAGCTTACAGTGATCCTGGACCTGGGAGGCCCAGCCCCCGCCCCACCCTGGTCCTTGGAGCTTGGCCCCATGCCTCCTCCCCTCCCTCCCTAGACCCACGCTTCCTCTCCTTTCCCTCCCTCCTTACTCCCTGCAGAGCCTCTCCTTTAACAGGTTGGCTCCAGGCTTTTTCTTCCTCCCTGTTCCTGAACTCCCCTCCTGCCCCTCCCACCCACACCTGCACAGAGGCCAGGCCCCTCTACTGTGCCCAGCACCCAAAAAGAAGATTCTGCAGCCCATAGCACTAAGGGGGCTCACCAGCCTATGAGCGCCTCCAGGGCAGGTGCTGTCACCCATCTGGTCCCTCCCCAAGGACCAGGCTCACAGTATATGGTGGAAGGGGCTGGGTCCAGAGACTGAGAGGGCAGCTGTGGGTCCAAATCAGCTTCTGCCCTCACTGCCTGTGAGACCCAGAGTGAAGTACATAACTGGGAGCCTCAGTTTCTCCACCTGTAGGATGGATCTGCTGATGCCTCCATTCCTCGGCATCTCTGTGGAACCCCTCTCGCCCATGCCAACACCCACATCCATGCAAACATGGCCCTGGTCTCCTGCGTATCCCCCACACCCCCTGCTCCCCTGCAATCCATTCCACACCCAGAAGCCCAGCCCACATTTCCCACCCCAGACCCTCTGATGGCTTCACATCACTGACCCCACCACCCAGGGCTAGGGGTAGCTTGGCCCCAGGCCACCTGCCTTATCGGCCTCTGGGAGCCAAGATCAAGCCCTGCTCTGTGCTTGTGGGCCATGAAAGGGGGCAAAGGCCATGGCGATGGAGCCAGTACTCGTCCCTGTGTGCATTTACGGGTTTGTCCTCTCTTCTGGCGGCATGAGCACAGGAGTTTGTCTTGTTCATGGCGTCAGCCTCTCACTCAACAGATGAGTGCTGAGTGAAGTAAGAAAGGGTCATTGCAAGGGTCAACAATGCTGCCAGGGTTGGCACAGAGGAGCCCCTCTCCTATGCTCAGCAACCATGTGGACGGGGCTGGGAAAGCTGCTTCAGGCCCAGGCCCAGGGGCCAGGGGCCAGGGTGACGAGACAGGGCAGGCATAGGACTGCTCTGGGGACTGAGACTTCCAGACCCGTGGGGGTGGGGGGGCACACTCTTTATGGAGTAGAAGGCCCAGGACCTGGGGGCCAGAGTTCATCATGGTGCAGGGCATGGTCCACAAGCAGGGAGTGAGCAAGCCCTACCCTGGAATGCCTCTGCCCACAGGTGGGCTCAGGGAGCAGCCCCACTTTACATTAGCTGTGCAAATGAGGAGTTGCCTTCAGAGCCCTATGTTGCAGGGAAGGCATAATGCAAGGGCCAAGGAGCTACCAGAGCATGGCAGAAGGTGGGAGAGCATGGTGTCAGATATCCCAGGGAGGAGTTTCCCGGAAGAAGAGGACCAGAGCCAGGGACATGGCTGAGAAGGGCCCTGGGAGGGCCGGTGCAAATGCCCATACGTCTTGAGGGCTGAGGCTGCAGCATGGGGCAAGGGTGGGTGCAGGAGAGGAGGCCCTGTGAGAGGCTGTCAGACAACAGGATGGAGAAACAGGGTGGCTCTGAAGGGGTGAGGAGACTGAGGAAGTGGCTTCTCTGAACAGGGGATGTAGGTAGAGGGGAAGGGGCTTTGGAGAAGGGGTCAGAATTCCAGCCAAGCAGAGCCCACCTCTGGGCATCTTGGGTGAGTCACATGGGGTCTCCTGGCCTCCAGTCCTAATCCATAAAATGATCACATGACCATTTAAGAATACGTCTATAAGCCCACTGAGGGCAGAGTCTAGTGTGAAGTGCTCTAAATGTGAGCAGGGGTCAAGGCCTGGGAGAAGGGGGAGGGCAGGCAGGGGGAAGAGAAGCAAGGGGGCTGGGGGCCTGTGCCTGCCCCGCATCCCACTTACGGGGCTCCTGCTCCTCCCCCTGGGAGTCTGATTCTGCAGGACAGGGAGGACAGGGCCCTGGAACCTGGACTTATAGAAGCTCCCCTGGTGCCCCCAGGAGGACTTCTGCAAACACAAATGAGACCTCACTACCTCCCTACTCCAACTGCCAGGGCTGCCAGGGCTCCGAGGCCTCCTGACCAGGCCCAGCTCCCCGGAGTGGCTCCCTCGGCCTTGTCCCCACAGCACACCCACTACCTATGCTGTGGTTCCTGAGCCTCAGCCTGATCCTTCCCTCTCCTGGCCTGCTTACCGAACACTCCCTGGGGAGGCAGAATGCCCGCAGTCCACCAGATGCCCCAGGCATGTGCACCCGCTCCTTGCCTCTCAGCAGCATGGGCCAGGCCTTCCCTGGGTGGCCCGGAGGTGCCCCATCCTGTCTCCATGGGCGGCGTGGATGCACCCCGTCCTGTCTCCCATCTCCTCTTTGGCTACTCTAGTCCTCTTCCTGGGATAACCTCGGCCTGTCCTCCAACATGGGGCACCCCAGGCTTGTCCTTTTGTGTTTTCTCAGGTGTACACACATGTTTCCAGACTGCAGTGTTGCCCTCTCAAATAGATGATGTCCAGTCCCACATATGTCCCCAGAATTCTCTCCTAAGTTCTGGATCTGAGGGCCCCTGTGCCACTGACCACCTCCTGGCTGGCAGAGGTTTGGAATGGATCACAATCTCAACACAGCTGTAAGTTCTGGACCACGAGCTCAGAGTATCTGAGCTTCGGGTCTCTTGCTGGCACAGCACACTTGTCTCCTCATACCTGCCCAGTGAGGGAAAGTTAAGAGAAAAGACGCTGTGCTAATCCACAGCCAGGGGAGCACTCAGGGGGCAGGGTCAGTGGCAACCAAGGCCCTGGTCCCTTCTCTGAGAAACCTCATGCCAAGGGTGAGTTTCCAAGAACTGCCAAAGAGAGACATTCTTTGAAGCACTCTCCAACCCCAACCTAGGGCCACAGATGCACAGGGTGGAAGAGCCCTGGCTGGCAGAGGTTTGGAATGGATCACAATCTCAACACAGCTGTAAGTTCTGGACCACGAGCTCAGAGTATCTGGATGGAGCTTCATGAGGCTCCAGATGAAGGGACCCCTGTGCTCTCCTGGGCAGAGTTTGTTTGGGGAATGGTGATCATCCCAGGATCCATATCTAAAGAAAGGAACTGATGAACTGTCCTACCAGCAATAATGGTTCTGGGCAGAGGCTGGAGGAACTGAGGGCTCTCTGCCCCAAGAGGAGAGGACCTGGGAAGGCTACGGCTGCCAGCCGGAACCAGGGGCCTATCTGAGGCAGAAGCAGCCTCGTTTGAGGACACATCTAAGAAGAAAGGGCAGAAGCTCCATGGGAGCTAAGGTTGGCTTGATGCAGGAAAAACTTTCTATGACAAACTGCCCCATAATGGGGGGGTCCTGTTAGGGAGAAGGGGCCCCCAAACAGCCCCACCGCCCCCATACTTAGACCCTGGACTCTAAGTGAAGTTAATGTCACCCACAGGGTGGAGCCCAGGACCGGGCAAGCCCCAGTGATGGGTAGGATGGGCACTAACCCAGGATAGGCAAAGGAGACTTGCTCCCCATCCCCCAAAACTGGGAAGATATGGGGCCGACATGCTGCTCCATCTTGCCACCAAATGAGCCAGGGGGTGGCTCACCCCATGGGAACAGAGCCAAGAGACAAACCCTGCAGAAGGCCTGGAGTCCTGAATGGAGACAGCAGAGGCCCGTGTCTCCTGCCTGGGCTGGGTTGATGGGCACCCACAGTGGAAATACCTGCACGGATGTGAGAGGGACTCGTCTGTGGCAGGCCCCATCCCTGAGAGGAGACCCGAGGCTGCCATGGTGATTTTGTGTCCTGTGCTCTGCCCAGGAAGGGCTGGGTGGGCAAGTGCCTCCCACCTGCCATCTTGCTGCCAGGCTTCCTGTGCCAGCTCTCTTCTGCCAGCTAGAGATGGTGCCCTATGAGGAGCCCCTGCAGGTGAGCATGGGCAGGTGGCCACCTCTTCACCGTCTCTTCCCCAGGAGCTCACCTGTCAAACAAGGGCTTCTCCCCACAGTCGAAGGAATCCTGCAGGTCCCTCACCAGGTTGGCCTGGCCTGGCATGCGGAAGAGCCCCTCCTCGGTGAGCCCGCGCTCCCGGATGAAGTCCACACACTGCTCCACCAGCAGGGGGGCAAGGCGGGGGCCATACTTCTGCTCATGGTGGACTGTGTCCTCTAGGCGCTGCCCAAAGATCCCTGGTCACAGAGAGGAGCTGGTCACATCTCAGCTATCTAACTCAGCAGTATATGGGGGGAAAACGGGGGCAGATGTGCTGTCAGGGTCAAAGGCAGCTCACTCCTGAGGGAACAAATTAGAAACAGGGAGGACATACCCCACATAGCTGGACCCCAGGCCCTCAAGACAGAGCAGGCAGGTGGCCTGTCCTGTGGACCTTGTCCAGGCCTGAGACACCTTTACAGGGCCCTCAAGGAGCAGGCATTATGCCTTTGGTTGATAGGTTTATTTATGCAACACTAACCTCCACACATGAGTAGCTTATATTTAAAAACCCAAGATTATGTCCACCAAAAGACATGCCCTAGAATGTTCTTAGAGGCATTCCTTGCAATCCCTCCAAATGGGAAGCCACATAATGCCGGTCAGCAGTAGACTGAGCTGGTATGTCATGGTCTACTCATACCATGGCACCCTGGACAGCAGTGGGAACAAATGGAGCACAGCTCATACAAGATGACACACATTAATGTGGAAACCACTGCAATGCAGCGTTGCTGATCATTAGGGAAATGCAAATCAAAACCACAGCACGCTCCCACCACACACCCATTAGGATGGCTGCTATCAAAAACCAGAAGACAGTAAGTGCTGGTGAGGATGTGGAGAAATGGGAACCCTTGTGCACTGTTGGTGGGAATGTAAAACTGTGCAGCCTCTGTGGAAAATAGGATGGAGGCATTTCAAAAAATTTAAAACAGAATTACACTATGACCCAGTAATTCCAGTTCTGGGCATACACCCAAAGAATTGAAAGCAGAGCCTGGAACAGATTGCTATACACCTGTGTTCATAAAAACACTATTCACAATATCCAAAAGGTGGACACAAACCAAGTGTCTGGTAATGGATGAACGGACAAACAAAATCTAGTGTACACATGCAATGGGATACGACACAGCCTTAAAAAGGAAAAATTCTGACATGGTACAACATGGATGGACCTTGAGGACATTACACCAAGTGCAATAAGTCAGTCACAGAAAAGCAAATGTTGTATGACTTCACTCATGTGGGGTACTTAGAATAATCAAATTCATAGAGACAGAAAACAGAATGGTGGTGGCCAGGGGCTAGGGGGTATGGTGGGGTGGAGAGTTAGTGTTTAATGAGCATGGGGTTTCAGTCTTACAGAATGGAAAGAGTTCTGGAGATGGATGGTGGTGACAGCATCACAGCAGTATGACTATACTTAATGTCACTGAATTGTACACTTAAAATGGCTAAGATGGGTCAATTTTGTTTTCCAAAAATTTTTTAAATAAAAAAAAAAATGGTAAGCAGAAGCCAGACCCAGAGTATACACTGCACGACTTCATTTAAGTAAAGAGCAAAGCCAGGTCAGGCCATGGTCACCTTGGTGGATCAGTGACTGGGAGGGGCCTGAGGGGCTTTCGGAGCACTGGGCATGCTCTGATTCTGGATCTGGACCCTGTTAACACTTATATTCACTTTGAGAAAAATCATTAAACTGTGCCTTTATGATTTGCATACATTATTTTTTTAATTTTGGTGTCATTAATCTATAATTACATGAGGAACATTATGTTGGCTAGACTACCCCCTTCACCAAATCCCACCTACAAGCCCCATTACAGTCACTGTCCATCAGTGTAGTAAGATGCTCTAGAATCACTACATCTTTTCTGTGTTGCACAGCCCTCCCTGTACCTCCCCCCACATTACACATGCTAATCGTAATGCCCCCTTTCTTTCCCCCTCCCCCATGTCCCTCCCTTCCCATGCATCCTCCCCAGCCCCTTTCCCTTTGGTAACTGTCAGTCCATTCTTGGATTCTGTGATTCTGCTGCTGTTTTGTTCTTTCAGTTTTTTCTTTGTTCTTATACTCCACAGATGAGTGAAATCATTTGGTACTTGTCTTTCTCTGCCTGGCTTATTTCACTGAGCATAATACCCTCTAGCTCCATCCATGTTGTTGCAAATGGTAGGATATGTTTTCTTCTTATGGCTGAATAATATTCCATTGTGTATATGTACCACATCTTCTTTATCCATTCATCTAATGATGGACACTTAGGTTGCCTCCATTTCTTGACTATTATAAATAGAGCAGTGATAAACATAGGAGTGCATCTGTCTTTTTCAAACTGGGCTTCTGTATCTTAGGGTAAATTCCTAGAAGTGGAATTCCTGGGTCAAATGGTATTTCTACTTTGAGCTTTTTGAGGAACTTCCATACTGCTTTCCACAATGGTTGAACTAATTTACATTCCCACCAGCAGTGTATGAGGGTTCCCCTTTCTCCACAACCTCACCAACATTTGTTATTGTTTCTCTTTTGGATTATGACAATCCTTACTGGTATGAGGTGATATCTCATTGTGGTTTTAATTTGCATTTCTCTGATGACTAGCAATGTGGAGCATCTTTTCATGTGTCGGTTGGCCATCTGAATTTCTTCTTTGGAGAAGTGTCTGTTCAACGACTGCCATTTTTTAGCTGGATTATTTGCTTTTTGTTTGTTGAGGTGCATGAGCTCTTTATATATTTTGGATGTCAACCCTTTATTGGATCTGTCATTAATGAATATATTCTCCCATACTGTAGGATGCCATTTTGTTCTATTAATGGTATCCTTTGCTGTACAGAAGCTTTTCAGCTTGATATAGTCCCACTTATTCATTTTTGCTTTTGTTTCCCTTGCCCAGGGAGAT